TTTCTCTCTCTATTTATATATATATATACATATTATATTTGTGAAATGCCGTCACTTTGGCCGCCTAAAACTTCCCAACCACTTAACTTTCGAATTTGACAAAATTAACGGGGTTTCAGAATCATTTATAGGGTGCCCAGTTTTACTGAGGAGCCTGAAGTCACTGTAGTTTAATTTTCAGTTTTTCATTAGTTTCGTTTAGATCTAATCTTGAGAAAGTCTGTCTTCTAAGACGCCATTGTAAACAAGTGAAATTTCCGTTCATTAACCGTGCGCACCTTTGAAATTCTTGAGTGTACAACCACGAAAGCAGAATAGAGAATCAATCTACACATCTCTATAGTATCTGGACCTTTTCATTTTTTGCATCTCTCAAGATTTATTGCTCCCTTCAAGTAGAGTGTTAAATATAGTAGGCCAATGACTTTCAGTTGATGTTAATGCAGCGGTCATTCCTTTGATCGAAAGGGGGTCCAGCTAGTATATATATATTATCTTTCTCCTCCTTTGTTTCTTTGTATGTTACTCTCTAACAGCACCTCTCGTCTTTGGCCGCTTAAATGACTTATTTATGTTGTAAATGCCGTAAAACTCCTCTAACTAAAACTCCACTAAAACTCTCCTGGTTGTCTTGTTCCAGACATGGCCCTACAGGGAAAGTCGTTCTTCGCCATGGAGGGAAAGCCCTACTGTGAGGCCTGCTATATTGTAAGGAAAAAACACTTGTGTATATATATATATGTGTGTATAGTGTAAGGGAAATACACGTGTGTATATATATATATGTGTGTGTATAGTGTAAGGGAAATACACGTGTGTATATATACGTATATATATATATATATATATATATATATATATATATATATATATATATATATATATATATATATATATATATATGTATGTATACTGTGAAGGAAATATACATATGCATATGTACGTATACCGTATGGGAAATATACATGTGTATATGTACGTATACTGTAAGGAAAATACATGTGTATATATACGTATACTGTATGGGAAATACAGGTGTATATATATATATATACGTATACTGTATGGGAAATACAGGTGTATATATATATATATGTATACTGTAAAGGAAATACACTTATATATTTTATGTGTATTGTAGGGAAAATACACTAATTGTATATATACAAATATTATGAGGGAAATACACTTTAATATATATGGATATTGCAAGAAAAATATACTTGTATATACATATTTTGTAAGGAAAATACACTTGTATATATATATATATATATACATATACATATTTTGTTAGGAAGATACACTTGTATATATATTGTAAGCCAAATACACTTTGTCACGTATATGACCTAATTGTGTTTCAAGTTTCTTTAAAATGTTCACTGAAACCTAGAGTACTGCGGTGGTTTTATCTTGTGTAAAGTAGGCCTAGGGCAGATTTGTCCTTTGCTTCATTCACGGGCAATCGTTTTTTTTCTATTTTTTTTTTACCATCTCATGTTTTTCATCGGCAGAATACATTGGAGAGATGTTCCGTTTGTTCTAAGCCAATCACAGATCGGGTGAGCAGACGTGTTGTTTATCGTTATTCTGTTCTCGTGTCAGTACTTGTACGGGCGTCTGCTGTGTAACAGTTGGGCGCTTGGCTGGCTGTCGCATGCAGGAGACCCGAGTTTGATTCCGGAGAGGGGAGAGTGGGTGGTTGGCGGGTGCTCTGGTGTGGTTTGCTCCTTCTTTCCTGTCAAACATCTATAGTCATTATCTCCCCTCCTTCTATTTTGTGTTTGTTACTCTCTTGTAACGCCTCTAATCTTCGACACTTATATATGACCTTATAGTGTTGCAAGTGCCGTAAAACTCTTCCTGAAACTAAACAGGAGAGGGGAGAATCTTTATTGTGTATCTTGATCCTTCTGTTAGGATGTTGTACCCTTCTAAGCCTGGGTAAGCCCTGATGAATGGAGTTGAAGCATGCCTTGTAAATGATCGAAATTGTGTTGATGGGAGGTTGTAAAAACATGTACATTCACTAGAAAAAAAGAAAAGAAAAGGAAACGCTCGTATTTCCGTAAGGACACAGCAAGTGACGGAATTCTCATTTTGCGACTTTGTAACTTTGTGATTTCACTCTTTAAACCCCATCGGACTCTGGGAGTGTCCGATACTAGTGACCTCTGTCACGTTTCATTTAGTGCTAGGTTTTGCTTGTTTTTCGGAACTATTCCCTATCCAAGTTTTTGAGATATGACTAAGCCTTTGTTTCTGCCATATAGAAGTTGGAGGCAAGCTTGTGGGGATATAATGAGACATGATGCGCCAGGTTTAGAAAAAACTTCTGGAAACAGTGGCAGAAATTCAGGGTTTAACTGATTCCGTCCATTCGGCCGCTGACAGCGGCTCTGAGTTTTTCCGCTACGTCCATTCGACCGCTGTGAGCGGCTCAATGAAATCCGATACAAATGTGCACTTTTTAACATAGTTCCGACTTTTTAAGTTGTCGAAAGGAAGTAGAACTTGTAAACAAACCTGACCTCAAACTCTGAGCGCCAATATCGATCGAAACTCCACGAAATTCTTGCAAAAATCGTTGTTTTGTTGTCGCGATGTAGGCTAGATCTAAGGGTAAACAACACGGGGCCTGGTATAATAAAAAGGCCCATCAAAGAAAGATATTCAACTAAATTTGTGAAATTCTTGCATAAATGTGTGCTAGGGTGATATCGCTACAATGTTGTGTTGATTCCTATGGATTATAAGGACTTGTAGAGCTGAGAAAATGCGGTAAGTGGAAATTTTCTAAGAGCTGTTGCGCAATTTTTTTTTTATCATTCGTTTTTGTCTGAAGGAAAATGCAGTACAAACAGATTATAGGTCATTGTTATTGATATAAACACATTCCTCTATTTATTCCCATCAGTTTGGTATATGACAATACCTATTAGAATGACTTACAGCTTCACAGTAATGCATTAAATAGATGCACCCCAGCTTTAAAACTGAACAGGGAAAAATAATTATGTCCAGAGCCTGAAAAAATCATGGACGGAATCAGTTAAAGAGTTGATGACTTTGTGGCTTAATAAATTTGTAACTGAATAACTTATGACTTTGTGACTGTGACTGAATAACTTTGTGACTGAATAACTTTGTGACTTAATAACTTTGTGACTGAATAACTTTATAACTTTGGAACTGAATGACTGAATAACTCATGACTTTGTGACTGAATAACTCATGACTTTGTGACTGAATAACTCATGACTTTGTGACTGAATAACTCATGACTTTGTGACTGAATAACTCATGACTTTGTGACTGAATAACTTTGTAACTTTGTGACTGAATAACTTTGTAACTTTGTAACTTAACTTTGTGTCTTTGTGGCTGAATAACTTTGTGACTTTGTAATTTTGTGACTGAATGTCTTAATGACTTTGATACTCTGCAGTTACTGCGCGCCACGGGCAAGCCGTACCACCCGGACTGCTTCACGTGTGTGGTCTGTGGCAAGTCGCTGGACGGGATCCCCTTCACCGTGGACGCCACCAACCAGATACACTGTATCGAGGACTTCCACAAGTGAGTTGTGCTGTACTGTGTTGTTCTGTCTTGTATCGAGGACTTCCACAAGTGAGTTGTGCTGTACTGTATTGTTCTGTATTTTGTTGAGGGATTTCTACAAGTGAGTTGTGCTGTACTGTATTGTTCTGTATTGTGTTGCGGACTTGTACAAGTGAGTTGTGCTGTACTGTATTGTACTGTTCTGTACTGTATCAAGGACTTGTACAAGCTCTACTGTATTGTACTGTTCTGTACTGTATCGAGGACTTGTACAAGCTCTACTGTATTGTACTGTTCTGTACTGTATCGAGGACTTGTACAAGCTCTACTGTATTGTACTGTTCTGTACTGTATTGTACTGTTCTGTACTGTATTATTGTGTTGCGGA